AACTTGACCATGTTGATTCCCTCAGGTTTGTCACTCCTTTATCATTGTGAGGTGAATTGACACAATATAACTAAACTCGTGCATTGCATCGCTCGCTCGATTCGACTTATTCCAGAACACAAGATATGTTTTGTTAGTGACGGAAGTCTGGGTTATCGGCATCTATTGAAGGATATATGTTGGTACCCAGCCTGATGATGTTTCATGATGAAACACCTACCAATCTCCTTTTACAGTGGAAAGAAGCGCTATCGATGTTGAATCATGGTACCGGTAGGAAATATTGATTGTATCTTGCCAGGACCAAAAGCATCACATTTAGCCCATGTAGAGTGTAACTTCTCTGAGGACAGGAGCCTCCCTTGAGCGCAAGAATTTGGTGGCTGCTCTGTATGGGCAGGCCCTCTCCGTTTTCAACCTTTCGATGGCCGCGGCATCGCTTTGTTCGTGAGTTGCTTGGACTAAAATGTATTTATTCTGCATTGGAGACTACGAAGCAATGGCAAGCTGTCGGGCTTGCAACAGACCTTTGCCGGTGGCTCCACAGTGGGTCAGACTACAGCCTTTCTGTGGTGTACATGATATGTTTTCAGGATCACAGATCTCGCAGGGCGAAGCCGACCATTATTGACATCCAGATCAGGACAGTGGCCACACGATTACCAAATGCGTCTAACACACATTGTCATTCCATTGTAGCAATTTCAACAAACTGTGTCAGCGATATGTATTAATGCAAATAACGCGCAAACAACGGCCACAACTATTTCAACGAAATTATGGCGTTTGATACCCTTACATTCACGACTACCGTCATCCAACATCTATCTCCTGCCCAACCATTAAACCTCCTCATCTTATTTGACTGTTATCAACAACAAACTAGATGTCCGAAAATTGCCCAGTCGATGGCGGTCCACGCCCTGTCATTAACAGATCTTTGTCATACGTTTCCCAGTCTGGTTTCAACTGGCACTCTTCAGCAGATTCATTCTCCTCGGCTGCGAGTGATGTCATTAGTAGCGCTCGAGTTAGTGAGGTGAGGATCTTTTCACTGCGCCAGAAAAAGTTTGCTCACTTCCTTTACAGCTCCGGCGCACCCCTTCGGTAAGCTCCGTCAGCGCCAGGCCCATCGCCCGTATGCCGAGAGAGAGATCGATGCCACACCTTTCCCAGTCTGATCTCAATCGGGGCTCTCCCGCAGCTTCCCCTGCTCCGAGCAGTGTTACTGCTACTGATAATGAGGTAACAATATTTCTAATGCCGATGTTAATGTCTGCTCATTTATTTGATAACGTATACAGATACGGCGCACACCTTCCTTGAGTTCCTTTGGAGGCGATGTCAACGTCAGGCCCTGTGCCAGTATCCAAAGCGAGAGATCCATCTCGCAATTCTCCCAGTCTGGTCCCAACTGGCACACATTCTCCCCCGCAATGGGCGATGCCGCTGCTAATACTGTGAGGATTATTCTATTGTTCATGTCCATGTCGGCTCACTTCTTTCATCCTTCATACAGATCTGGCGAACTCCTTCCTCAGGCTCCTTTTCAAGCGACGTCGGCGACAGGACCCGTACCAGTATCCAGAGTGAGAGATCCATGTCACGCCTCTCTCAGTCTGACCACAACTGGGGCTCTCCGGCCCCCTCGTTCTCCTCGAGCGACAGCGGCCGTACTATTAATGGCAACGGAGTAAGGGTCATTTCACCAGCCGTGAATACATGTATTCTGACCTCAAATTATCGCACTCTCCAGATTCGACGCACCCCTTCAACTATGTCATACCTTTCCCAGTCCGACTTCAACTGTGGATCTCCGGCATCCTTTCCCCCCTCAGCTATATATGATTTCGGCGTTAATAGGGTAAGGATTTTTAACTTTCCATGTTTATTTTTTCTCTTCGTTGAGTCGTCGTATCCGACAGATCCGACGTACCTCTTCCTCGATCTCCTTCAAAGACGAGGTCAATGTCGAGCCCAGTGTCAGTATCAAGAGCGAAGGCTACACAGGCTTCGTAGCAGACTGGTTCACTACTCTTGATTGGGACCCTCGCATTCGAGCTTATGGCAGTGAACTCGATAACAGATTTACCAACCAACCCGCCACCCCATCAGGCTACCTTCCTCAACAGAACACATCTCTCTCGCGTCAGCCATCTCTCTCGGCCTTCTTCAACCCCCACGAACCTCAGTTCGAAAATTCCGCCCCTCAGCAATCTGATCTTGTGCAGGGACTCATTGGCGATGTTGACATGGATTACGCGGGTGTTGAGTATGACGCTACCCCTGCCGTTGCATACAGTGATAATTTTCAGGACGTGCCGCGTGCCACTGAGACCTCCGCATTCGGCACCAGACAATCGTCCTACCAGAGTGTTGCCAACGTGCATCATTGATTTTGTCCTACCCATTATATCCTTGCTTCCCTCTGCCAGCCATATCACCTTCATAACCTGACATCACTTGGATACATTTCTCCTTCTACGATACTACACCTCATATGGCTCAAGGCCGGCCTACGATTATGCACGTCATCTCTAGAGCTCCTTCACTTGCAATACTTATCCATGCTCTTGGCTATCAACACTGTCATCTCATCCAGTTACTCATTTCCTCCGCATATACCACTGTCCGCTTTCCCTACGCTTTGTATGTATTCTGCACCAGTACTTAATCCATAACTCATCTCATGATACCATCAATGTCTCCCTTACCTTGTTCAATCCCCACTGTATCCAATAGTACGTAATTCTATTGTCGTATAACCCTCGATTTAGTACGACGAATACGATATGCCACGTAAATAAACCCCGACATTGTATATGTGGCGTGCCTTGAAGAAGATAAAATTCCAAGTCTGAATTGTACTCTCAACGCCTGTTAGTGTGTGACAGTCCCTCTTCAGGGCTTTCAGAGGTTGTTCGCCCGTAACGTCAATATTAATGGCGTGTTCGGCCCACAGACCCCATTGATGATGGGATAACTATTTCACGTTGCCCATGCCCTGCCTATAAAACGTGGGTTTCTCGATATCCAGTGAGAAAATAAGAAGTTCGGATACGGGGAATCGAACCCCGAGCTGCCGCGCACTGCAATCAATGAGAGGCGGCAATGTTAGCCGTTACACCATATCCGAAGTTATTGATATGTCTCCTACAATTTACATAGGCTTCCCAGCAGCGTCAAATTATTCTCCATTTGGTTGTTCCCCTCCTGTCATGGTCGATGCTGAGTAAAATCATTCTAGAGCAGAGTTGACCAGGCCGAAGTCAAATATTTTTCTGGAGCAGAGTTGAACAGGCCGAAGGCAAATATGTCATTGCTGGATTCACACGTATTGACTCAAATAAAAGGGCAATGAAGATTTTGGACTCATCAAGTGCGACGATCTACGCGTCGAGGAAAGCTATATCATTGTCAAAGTGGGATAACGATGTTCTGGCATACAACAGTTTGCGCCCCTGTTGAACCTTGAGGTACATAGACCCTTGTCTAAAATTATATCAAATAATGAATCAGCCAATCGACACGACATTCGTCATCATCACACCTGACCACGCGCTATAAGTACCCGACTCTTTTCCCTAAAATCCTCACACTCCCCATAACACATCGACACCACAAATGACCTCTCAGCCCACTGTTCTCCATGAGTTCGACCCCAAAAACATGCCTTTCAGGCGGCTTGGACCAAGTGGCCTGCGCGTTCCAGTGTTCTCGCTCGGAGGGTGTACGTACAGCAGTGATCCTTGATTGCGAGATCTACAGAAGAATCGAACTTGACTCCTTTTGATGCTACAGGGTTGACTCTTGGCGGATCTGTAGTCGGCGACCCTGTCCAGGTGTGCTTAACATTTTGCGATTATCAGAAGATCGCGTAGAAATTCGGCCTGTCCTGACGCGTTGTGTGCACTAGGACATCATCAAGACCGCGTTCGATGCTGGAATCAATATGTTTGATACAGCAGAGGCTTATGCGGGCGGAAAATCTGAGCTTGAGATGTACGTGGATCGTATTTTTTGGCAACGTGTTCGGACGAATTGATCAGATTGTAGGGGACGGGTGATCAAGAAGCTTGGTCTGCGCCGCACAGATCTCGTCATCACTACCAAGCTCTTTTGGGGACCTCGTAAAGGTCCTAATGATGGTGGCCTGTCGCGCAAACAGTGTGTAGCACCCAATCTGATAAATCTCATCTTACTCAATTTCTTGAATTATAGCATCATTGAAGGTACAAAGGAAAGTCTCGAGCGTCTCGGTCTTGAATATGTCGATGTTCTTTTCGCGCATCGACCTGATAGTACCGTCCCAATGGAGGAGATCGTACGGGCCTTCAATTACGTTATTGACAAAGGCTGGGTGAGTGCATCCTCTTCATTACCGAATTTACACGTTCTCATCCGTACTTTGACATATGTCTAGGCATTCTATTGGGCGACGTCTGAGTGGAGTGCTCGGGAAATCGAGGAAGCCTACCGTGAGTTCCAAATAGTCTCCGTACCTTCTCCTGACCGTGAAACTTGACACTCATACAGATATTGCTGACAAACTGAACCTTGTGGGCCCTATCGCCGAGCAATGCCAACACCAGTTCGTTTCCGAAATTCTTGCGCGTCTTTTTCTGCAACTAAGGCCCTTCTTAGCATGTTCCACCGTGAGCGTCCTGAAAAGGAATATGAGTCAGTTAAGCTTTTATCAGATCCCGCGAAACTCAATACTCACATGATTTTTTCCCCAGTCCGCTTTATAGGAAATATGGCTTGGGAACTACGACATGGTCCTCGCTCGCCAGCGGTTTGCTTACCGGAAAGGTACGTTTTTCTGCCTCAGAATATTCTCCATTTTGACTTTAACATTGCGCAGTACAACGACGGCATCCCTGAGGGCTCGCGCTTCGCTACCACTGCTATGTTCAAAAATACCGTCGAGTCCCTCCAACAGGAAGAAGGCAAGGAGAAGATCCGCAAGGTTAAGGAGCTCACCAAGCTCGCTGCTGATGGTAGAATAATCTAGTTCCCTTCGCCGATTTTTATTGATCTCACTGTTTCTTCTTCGCATCTAGAACTGCAAACTACCCCAGCTGCGCTGGCCCTCGCGTGGGTCGCAAAGAACCCTAACACTTCGACGGTCATCCTCGGCGCTTCCACGCCAGAGCAGCTTAAAGAGAATCTGAAGGCACTCGAAGTTCTCCCCCGACTCACCCCGGAAATTATGGAGAAGATTGAGGTGATCTTGAATAACAAGCCCTCCCCGCCTGTAAGACATTTTTTATTTTTGATGATGTCCTTTTCAGTTGACACTTGGTAGGTCAATCACGGACGTCCCCCACTTGATATTCACGGTCGTCTCTAAGTCGAGCCTGAAGGTACCGCTATACTTATGGACAATTCACATTGGATCCTGTAGCAGTAGATATGTATGTGTCGAGGTCCTAAACCAACACTGGGTATCAATAACTGGGTAAACGATGTCACAAATGTTCGTCCACATGAGATGTGTTACTACTGGCTCAAGTGAAGAACATTTCGCCATGCACATCTACTATGTCAGCAATCCTAGTTCGTGGTACTAAATGTATGCGCCGTGGTAGCAAAACCCACTTGCTGATTTTCGGTGTCATAAACGGTGTAATAGCGCTCGAGGAACGTGTATCCGTTGATGAAATCCAATCCAGAACCGCTGTTGGTACCAATGTCCGAGACAATCAAGTACAGGGCATCGGCTGTTCCCCCAATCGCAGAGTTGAGGACGCGAGGCCACAGTTGCGCATTGGGCGTCAACTCAAAGTTTTTCTAGGAACACGATTAGATCAGGCAAAGCTCCATTTTCAGAAGGCGATAAGTACTTACCCCGGCAATGGTGAAGAACAAACTCTTCAGGTTATCGAATTGCGCAGGCGTGATCGAGAGCAGCCCCGTGTTGCTGTCCAGTACCGCACCAGTAGCGCTCTGGTAGGCTTTGAAGGCGTCGGTAGCAATGAGAACCAATGTGCTGCCTATTCAGACGGATGAGCAATAATTCGTGATTTCCGATTGAGCGGAAGCAGAATGACCTGTATCGACGATTCCAGCAGATTCCTTGAGTATTTCTTCACTTCCATATGTTATGGTTTGATTAACTCCCCAATACGCGCTCGCAGGCTGGGTCGTTGTCAGAGGCCTATAAGGAGAGTATGTCAGCCTTTGGATCAAAGCAGCCCTCATTCAGCAACTTACGCGAATGTGATGTTGCCTGTGAATTTGGAATCATCGACCCCACCTTTCCAAGTCATTCAGCGTGAGTGGTTATACCGGGAGAAAATGTCGTATAGTCACCATAAGAAAGCGCCCCAATTTGTTCAGAGGTATTACTGTACGGTTCAAAGTAAACGCCGATCTGGTTTGACGCGATAATGCCTTGTTCGAACGCAGTGTCTGTAACGGTGGGAACGGTGTCATTTACTGAGGGATGAAGAGTTCCTTTGGTAAGACCGACTGGGCCGATGCTAACATCAATCAAAGCGTCAGGACGATTAGTGTTGAGGACGAATAAAATCTAACCCAAGGATCCCGTCATAGTTAACACCTGTTGCCTGAAAAAGAACCAAAACTGTTAAATTTCCGGTACTGAAAGAGCGAAGGTGGAGGAAGTTACATTGCTAGAGACACCAATTGATTGGTTGGCGAGGATGATCCCAGTAGTAATGTTGACGGTGTCGATATATTCGAGGCCTGATGTTGGAGAGAGATTGAGCCAAGGTGCAATGAAGCATTACACGCCAGAACTTAGGACTGACCCGAGAAGGAACCAGAGCCATATGTGACGGACTAACACACAAAGTACGACGAGGTATCAACACGCCCAATTCATTCATGTCGAAATTCTTGTTTGCTTACGACGCTATCTGCAGTCTTCACGCTCGAGCTGGTGACAACGTATTCCTTCTTGGCACCAATCCAGGTATTAGAGCTTTTGGAAAGGTTCAGTCAGCGCTAGTTACTAACAGGAAGGAAATCCTAACCTTCCCGTATCAATAAGCAGATCGTCTTTGGACATGGGTTTGTGAATCCATATCATGTAAAGAATAACGCAGCAAACGCACAAGTTGTCGGAGGAGTGCCGACTCCAATAGTTGTGGTATAGGCTACACCCGTGTTCAGGGCCTCTTGGGGTTCCTGCCTTGAACCAAGGTTAAGCAATGCCTCACCGCGTGCGCGAAGAGCTTTCGCGCGCGCAACATCGCGATGAACGAGATGGCGGAGGCTACTAAGGTCGAGACGTTTGGAGAGAGGCACCGAGGTTATAGTGGCGCTTGAAGCCTGAAGAGAGAACGAGAGCAAAAGGAACGAGACAAAGGAAGGTGAGAATAACATATTGGCAAGCCCGAAGAAGCTGAGGATGGGTATTCGTTCCAGCAGTGGTCTTTATACATTCTCACTGCCAGCACGCGGCTAATGGTGGAGCGAAAGACAAATTTATCAATGCCGTTAATAACGTGAACGCCACCTGTGACATAGGCCGCCCAGGCCCCTTGTTTGAAATTTGAATGAGAGCGTCAGTCATTACAATTGAGCCAAAATCGGAATTATTCGGGAGCACCTTGTTGTTGCGCGATTGACAGGTTATCTTGCCCAATCTATGTATCCATTGTATTATTGCAAGCCCTTGGAAGAAATTCAGAAGAGTGTTCGTTGGTTCAAAGTCCAAAGTCCAGGGACACAGTGGTAAAATGGCAGTTAATTGAAAGCCATGTGTGACTGTGGAGCTGTGGGCCCACTAGCACAAGTGATGTGGCTCACAGTGGTAATTATATAAGGAATAGCCTGTTGAGAATTGGAATATGCTGATTGCAAAGTCATAATCACGAGCCAGTTCATAGGAATATTTTTACAGTGACCCCGTTACAAGTTTGTATTTTGCAGAATTATGAGAGGGGAAAGTAAGTAACGAATGGTGTCCAACATCCATACAAATGCTTACTTTTTCGGTATTCAGGACTTCCATCCATGAGTTTTTTCATCATAATGCTGTCGGCTCACTCGTGCTCCACTGCAATATAAAACCGCACTTTCTATACAGACTTCTACCGTGAGAGGCTGCGGTTTGACGTCTGGTGCCTAGGATCGGCTGTGAAGCTTCATACAACCTTCCAGCAT